TTTTTACTCAATGCATTAGTAAACTTGACTCCGGAGATACCTGTTAGAGTTATTTTATGCCATATTAGTCTACTAGCGTTGTAATACCATTGCTTATTAACCAATAAAAGTTTACCCCATTCATGCTGTGGTATTGGAAAATTCTTTCAAATATTTTATTTGGCATTGTAGTTACATAACAGATGGTTGATTCTTTCAACTTTGTGGATGTGGTTGGGATTATTTCTTCAAAATTAGTCCACTCTAGTCGCATTGCATTCTTTATTGAGACATTATCTGCATTAACTATTTTTAACTCTCCTGCTTGTTTTCCAATCACCTGATCGCTAATTTTACCTGAAAGAATAAACCCATCTGTATGGACACGCTTTATACGATCACCTAGTGATCTGATTTTTTCTGATACTGTTTTGTGTCCCCTTGCTGAAATAAAAGGTACCATGCGTCGATGAGGACCTGGTCTTCATCCATCTGAATATAATCGCCCCCAGAGTGATACTAGCATATGCTTGGCAACTGTACCTGCCTATCCGCCTTCATGCTTGATTTTTGTAAGATAACTTGCCCATTAATAGAAAATTTCATCTCCGCGCATAAGCTGATTTGGCTCAAATATTAAAGCATTAGGACTTTCAGAGAATAATTCTATGTGAAGACCTAGATCTATTGCCATTTGTATGTCATGGTGAGTGTAATATCCTGCAGGATTATAATAAAAAGTTCTTGTGCATTTTTGACCTGCTGGCTGACCTCCTATGAAAACATGATAAATTCCGTATTTTAGATTAAAGTTGATAGGATTAACGCTAATGTGTGTAAATGTTTTAAATTCTCCTGGACCTATTGGCCAGCATGTACTCCTATAAGCTAAGATGTGCGGGTAATATCTAACTTGGTTGCAATTCCTTTATATGGCTCAGCCCACGTTAAACCTCCTATATATGCTAATCTTATCCACTAGTCTTCCTCTGGCGATAAGTCTTCAGCTTTTCTAGGATATCTAGCTACATCTTGAAAGAAGCACAGACTTGCCATTGCATACGTACCAGTTTTTCTTAAGTCTATCTGCTCATCACTTCGCCAAAAGATTGCATTGGCTTCATCATTATAACGAATATGAGCCTCTTGAAGTGTTTCATTCAGATTATGAACCAGTCTCGTGATAAATCACAGAAGTCATTTTCGAAACCAATCCATTGTGTAAACCCATCATAGAACTTGATATGCAAATTCTGCTTTTTCCAGAATAGAAATCTTCAGATAGCTAAATACCATCTTGTATCAGTATTTTGGTAAGCTAAAGCGGTCTTATAGTCGCTTTCTCTCTCCACCGACCCTTCTTCTGGTTCTGGTAGCTCGGAAGGTTTGGGTAACTCAGGTGGCATTGGGTCTCCCCAGCTTGGTAAGAGATTTCTGAACAATCGTCCTAATACACCGGTGATAGTACTAAGTATTCTACTCATGTTTTCCTAAAGATTATATTTGGTTACAAAAAAGTTTAAAATAAAAATTAATTTATTCGGATAATTATAGTTACATATTTATTCAAAAAACAAACTA